ATGCACTAGCTGTTGGGATTTGAGCACAGGTATCTCTTGTTTGTTTCATCACTCCAAAGAACACGTCTCCATTACTCTAGAGTCCACTGGCGGCTGCTTTACACCACTGCATCTGACACTTTGCATTGCACTTGATGATGTAAGGCTTGAATGCAGCTGCTCAGCCATGGAAACCCATTCCATGAAGCTCTCTATGCACTGTTGTTGTGCTAATCTGAAAGCCACATGAAGTTTGGTGGTCTTTAGCTATTGACTCTGCTGACAGTTGGCTTCAGCATGCGTTGGCCCCGCTCTGTCACTTTAAGTGGCCTACCACTTCATGGCTGAGTTGCTGTTGTTCCCAGTTGCTTCCACTTTGTTCTAATAGTACTAACAGTTGACTGTGGAATATTTAGTAGCAAGGAAATTCCAGGGATGGACTTATTGCACAGGTGGCAACCTATCACCGTACCACGCTTGAATTCAGTGAGCTCCTGAGATCGACCCATTCTTTCACAAATGTTTGTAGAAACAGTCTGCATGCCTAGGTGTTTGATTTTATACACCTGTGGCCATGGGGGAGACTGGAACACCTGAATCCAATGATTTGGAGGGGTGTCCCAATACTTTTGGCAATATAGTGTAGTCTACTGTCACTGTATAGAGTTCTGTGATACATTTTAAAATCAATGAATATTGGTTCGTTTGTTATACTGTTCAAGAACCATTTCTGTGTTGTGACCCAATGCTCTAGAAATTACATTTTACAACATTTACTGTATATTATTAGACTAATACAAGTTGAAGTATAACACAGGTGCTTGCTAAATAAACCAGTTAAAGTTCAAGAATGATACGCATTCTCTTGCCTTTATCTAATAATCCTACATGTTACGTGATGCTGATTTTTAGAAACTCTACTGCACGCTGGACAGACTGCAAGGAAACACCCTGGGAAACATCTCTTACATACCTGAGTCCCACTCCGTGTACCTTTTTATATAATACACCCCTCTTCTGCTCTTCATTTTACTATCCTCTGTTCACAAATCTCATTTCTTTACCCCTCTGCTCCACCCCAAAACTTGTACATCTCCCCCTCATTGCTATCATCTCCCTACTATTGCTTTCATCACCTCCCCAAAATGCCTCTTCCACTCCTCCTTCTCATTTTCCTCTCCTCTGTTCCCAAAATCCATTCACTATATCCCTCTGCTCCTCCCAAACATTTGTATATTGTGCCCTCACTGCTTCCCTCACCCCTCTATGGCACCCACCACCTCCTCCTATTACTCCACTCTCCCACTGACCCCAACACCTCCACTAGTAGTTTCTCACGCTCCTGCACATCCCGCTCCCATGCCACCTTTCTCACCCTTCTCCTCCTCATAACCGCGGGGACATCTCCCCGAATCCTGGCCCTCCACCACCTCCCGCACAAAACCCTCCCGCCTCCACGTCCTGCCGCAACCCCCGCAACTTAGTATCTGTCCCCCTGCTCCCTAAAATCTCCCCCCCGTTTTCATGTGCACTCCTGAACGCCCGATCGGTGTGCAACAAGCTTACCGCCATCCACGACCTCTTTGTTTCCCGCTCCCTCAACCTCCTGGCGATTACGGAAACCTGGATCCAGCCCACTGACTCTACCTCCCCTGCTGCACTCTCCTACGGCGGTCTCACCTGGACCCACTCACCCAGGCCCAACGGTCGTAAAGGTGGTGGGGTTGGCCTGCTCCTGTCACCGCTGAGCACCTTCCGAGTCCTCCCAAACCCCCCCTCCCTATCCTTCTCCTCCTTCGAGGCCCACTGCGTCCGACTATTCTCCCCAACCCCCCTGAAGATTGCTGTGATATACCGGCCTCCTGGATCCATACCCCGCTTCCTGGAAGACTTCTCCTCCTGGCTACCCTTCTTCCTCTCCTCTGAGCTACCCACTATCATCCTTGGGGATTTCAACATCCCTGTCAACCTCGACAACCCGGACACAGCCCGTCTCCTCCACTTAACCTCCTCCTTTGCACTTGCACAGTGCATACAATCCACCACCCACTCCGACGGTAATATCCTTGATCTTGTCTTCTCCAACCGCTGCGCTCCCCACAACCTCACTAACACCCCCTTCCCTCTCTCTGACCACAACCTGATTACTTTCTCTATCTCCTCATCCTCCAATGCCTACCCTTCCAAATGTCACACTACTACCAGCCGTAACCTCCGCAACCTTAACCCTGCCTCCCTCCACTCCGCAGTTGATCAACTCCATGACCGCATCCTCCCCCTGTCCTGCCCCGACTTGGCTATGACCGCCTACAACAATGCGCTGTCAACAGCCCTTGACTCACTAGCGCCTTTAACCACACGCAACATCAGACCCCGACCGCTCCAGCCCTGGCAGACTGATCACACCAAAACCCTCAAACGACACAGTCGTGCCCTGGAGCGACTATGGCGCAAAACCAAATCCCAACAAGCCTTCACCCGATACAAATCTGCCTTCCACACCTACACCTCCTCCCTCCATACTGCCAAACAAGCCTACTTCCTGACCCTCATCAAGGCCCTCTCCTCCAATCCTCGCCGACTCTTCTCCACCTTCAACTCTCTACTCTCGCCCCCCCCCCCACCTCCACCCAGCACCTCACACCTCACTCACTGCCCTTGAGATTGCCAATCACTTCAAAAACAAGATTGACACAATTCGCAAGGACATTGCCGCAACTCACACGCCGTTCTCAACCCGTCCCCTCTCACACAGCTACCCCCTCATCCCCCCTCCCCCTCGACATAACCCACAGGGACTTCGTCGCTGCTCAAACTCCCTCCAACCCCCTTCCCCCTCACTCAGCTACCCCCTCTACACCCCTCTCCCACGGCCCCACCACTGCTCTAACCTCCTCTCCCACCCCACCCTACATTCCTCATACTGAAGCTCCCCCAACACTCCGCACCTTTGACCTTACTACCATCGAAGAAGTCTCCAGATCCTCTCTGATGCCCGCCTCACCACCTGCCCCCTTGACCCTATCCCCACACAACTCCTACGACCTCCCTCCCCCCCCTCCATCCTACGCTCCCTCACCCACATCTTCAATCTCTCCCTCTCCTCCGGCACTTTCCCTTCCCCTCTGAAACATGCACACATCACCCCCATACTTAAAAAGCCCTCCCTGGACCCCAATGACCCGAACAACCTCAGACCCATCTCCCTGCTCCCATTTACATCTAAACTCCTCGAGCGCCTAGTCTACGCCCGCCTATGCTCTCACCTCAACGACAACAACCTCCTCGATCCCCTACAGTCCGGCTTCCGTCCCCTACACTCCACCGAAACTGCCTTACTCAAACTCTCCAACGACCTGCTAACCGCCAAAGCTAATGGCCACTATTCAGTGCTCCTACTCCTTGACCTCTCTGCGGCCTTTGACACAGTCGACCACCCCCTCCTCCTCAAAAAAACACTCCCTCGGCCTCAGAGATTCTGCTCTCTCCTGGCTCTCTCATCCTACCTGTCACAACGCTCTTTCAGCGTTACCTATAATGCCACCACCTCCCTCTCACTCCCCCTCTCTGTTGGGGTCCCTCAAGGCTCTGTCCTCGGGCCCCTTCTCTTCTCCATCTACACCTCCTCCCTTGGCCGACTCATACACTCTCACGGCTTCAACTACCACCTCTATGCCGACGACACACAAATCTATCTCTCAACCCCCCACCTCACCCCCTCGGTCTCCGCCCGAATCACACACCTGTTGAGCGACATATCAGACTGGATGTCGCTCCACTTCCTTAAACTGAACCTCTCCAAAACCGAGTTTCTTGTCTTCCCTCCAGCCCGGACACCACCCCCCATTGACTTCTCCATCATGTCCAACAACGCCACCATCAAACCCGCCCCGCAGGCCAGAGTACTTGGTGTTATTTTGGACTCCAACCTATCCTTCCAGCCCCAAGTCCACTCTTTAACAAACTCGTGCAGACTCCACCTCCGCAACATCGCCAAAATCCGCACGTTCCTAACTCCAGAAACCACCAAACAGCTCATCCACTCCCTCATCATATCGCGACTCGACTACTGCAACTCCCTCCTCACTGGCCTGCCTCGCCGCTGGCTATCCCCGCTTCAGTCCATCCTAAATACGGCTGCCAGACTCATTCACCTTTCCAACCGCTCCGTTTCCGCCACCCCCCTCTGCCAATCCCTCCACTGGCTTCCGATTGCGCAACGGATCAAATTCAAAATCCTAACGCTGACGTACAAAGCTGTCCACCATACTGCCCCGAACTACATCACTGACCTAATATCCAAGTACCGCCCAGCACGCACACTCCGCTCCTCACAAGACCTCCTTCTCTCTAGTTCCCTGGTCTCCTCCTCCCATGCCCGCCTCCAGGACTTCTCCAGGGTGTCACCCATCCTCTGGAACTCCCTGCCCCAACCCATCAGATTATCACCTACTCTCCTCTCCTTTAGGCGCACCCTGAAAACCCATCTCTTCAGGGAAGCCTACCCCGCCCCCTGCTAACTTGCCGACCTCCTCCACTCTTCCTACCACTCCATCCCCCACAGCTATCTCCTCCTGTGCTACCATCCCCTCCCTCCTAGATTGTAAGCTTGAAAGAGCAGGGCCCTCAATCCCCTCATGTTTTGCATTGTATTGGTATTGTTCTGTCACATGTTCTGTCCCCCTTTGTAATGTACAGCGCTGAGCGAACTATTGGCGCTTTATAAATACTGTATAATAATAATAATAATAATAATAATAATATTACAGTTTGTTTTTTTTACTGAAAACAGTACAATCAAACAAATAACTAATAAATGTCTAACAAGCTACAAAGTGGATGCTGCATAACTGCTATCTTCTAGTCTATAACCTAATAGATAAAAGCAGAGAACTCTGGTGATGAACTTGATTGCCAACCACAGTTTCTTATTTTTTTGATTATTTTACAGGCTTTGGCTCATTTGTGGATAAGACAGTGTTACCCTATGTAAACACATTACAATCCCAGCTGAGGAATCCATGCCCAACGCGGACAGAACACTGCCAACCGCCCTTCAGCTACCGAAATGTTCTGCCCTTAACTTCAAACCTCACTTTGTTTCAAGAACGAGTCAGTGCAGAAAACATCTCTGGAAACCTGGACTCTCCGGAGGGAGGGCTTGATGCAATGTTTCAGGCTGCTGTGTGCACAGTAGGTGTCTAACATTTATTTGAAATATCTATGGTCCATTTTTTAAAGCAGAATTCCAGGTATAGATATTTCAATACTTGTGTGTGAGCAGGTTCAGGTAGGGACATGGGAAAGTTTACGCTCATGCCCCTAGAGGCTGACGATGTATTTGCTGAAACAAGTGAAGTGGCGATGAACGATACTCTCACCCTTTACAGATATCAGCTCTGTTCTCTTTCTTAATTCTTCCTGTTATAACACTCCAATCAAGCACTTTTATTTCAGCAATTTGTGAAGCATTTCTGAGCCAGTGGCTGACGTTCAGCATATACCGGACTCCACCAGCCATTAATCATCACTCTTCCCTTGACTTGTGACCCAGTTGTCATTCACTTGTTTCTTGTCCACTGAAGCTCAACACTGCTATATACTTCAGGAAGCCAAATTTCATGCTTTCAATCCTCAAAGCCTTGGCCTAAATGGGTAGTAACTACCAAGATATACTCAGGGTTTGAGGGGAACAGTTGAAGAAAAGAAAGAGCTCTGGGGCAGGATTAAAAACTAGAGAGGAAAGGTGAAGATCCTCACCCCACTTTTCTGTTCTCTTCTTTTTTTTCCTTGTTTATCATGCACCCCTTTTCCTGTACTCAAAACATACAATATCCCCTCTCCTATGACCTGCACTACATCAAGAAGCAATTGAACGCATAGGTTTGTAACCAAAACTGAATGCATTTACTTAATGTGTGTACATTGCACCTCCCTTCTCCCATTACATTATGTTTATTTCTATCTCTTCATATATTGTATTATGTTATTATGTTAAAAATAAAACTTATTTAAAAAAAAAAAGACATTTTAGTAAATCTATGTACCTCACTTGCTTGAAATTAAGACTGTATGTGATGGCTTACTTGATGACACTCTCCACAACCTATATCTGTATCACAGGACCACATCGGTTGGAGGAATGTTACACGTCTCTTAGTATATGCATCTGATGATATCTTTCATATGGCTGGAGATGGAAAATTATCTGGCATTTACATGCCGACAGATGGCCGCTGCCATCTAAATGAAAATGGGGAATATTATCAAAGCAATATATTTGTGAGTACAATCATATCATATGAGCACATCTAAGCGTTTACTTTATGCACTGCTTTTTCCTAGCACAGCCAGAAATACTGTGTGATTAGGTGACTGTCATTTGACAGATATGAGGCAAGATGAGAATATTATCTTTCACAAACCTTCTAGGCAGATAAACTTGTATGAGCCAGATTAGAGATGGGAAGACCTGAAAAAAAACCCAGAAAAATTGGGGGGGAAAAAACTATTTTTTTTTCAAAGCTGTTTTTTTGGGGGGTTCGGAAAAATTGAAAAGAAAAAAAAAAGTGTGGAATATGTACTTTTACAATGATAATTCATATATCTATGACATGGTATTCAAACTAAATAACATGAAGATTTCTAAGACTTTATGTAAAGTTCTAAATTATTGCTCTCCCAGATAAAAATAAGCAAATGCTGGAATACAGTTCAAGTAACACTGTAGTTGAATGCAGTTCTCAAACAAGAGAAATACAGTATGCATTTCTGCCACTAGGGGACTGCAGAGAAAATCCTCCAGTTTAGTTTGCTTGTGGACTCCATCTTGTACCTCCTACAATTGGATTATTGTTGGGATGCAGTAGATGATGGTTTCTGTCCTCCTCTTAAGCCTTAATGCACAGGTAAAGGGTACATTCATCTGACAAATTAGTTTATCTTTATAACCTTTAAATGATTCCTATTAATGTTCTCTACCATCACAGCATAATGTTTACCTATAGTCTGGTCAGTAAATTGTTTTTTTGTAGAATGGTGAGACCAACATCTAGAGTTTGAAAACATTTCCACAGTGCAATTTCTGCCGAAGGCAAAGCTGCAATTTTAAGGTATTATAAGAAGAAATATTATTTTCCAATTGCTACAAGGATGACAAAACACATCCTTGTATGCCAGAGTTGCCCTAAAGACATTAAAAATACTTTATGGAATTAAAGGATGATGACCATTATGAAAGTGCAAGTAGCTTTTTTCTCTAGCGTTCTTAGTCCAGAAACACTTTCTGCTATTGGTGCTGATTTTTTTTTTTCTTATGTTGATGGTTTCATGCTTTTTTTGTTGCTTTTTAGGGAAAAGGGGTGGTTACCTGTTCTCAGGTATAGCCGAAATGATCTTAAGATATACAGTCCTTTTTATTCCATTTGTGATGAAAAAAAAAATACGATTTGAAAAAGCAAGTTTAGTTTATTTACTGCATAAGCTGTACTTTTATTTCAAGCATAATACTTTTATATACACAACATTTCACACTCCTAGTGTAACAAAATGACTTTCAATTTCTGAAAGTACTTCATGCTGAATTTTTTTCCACTTTTGTTTACAAAAATATCCTTTTTGTCTGGGAAAAAACAGGGGTGAAAAAAAACTTTTTTCCCTTGGCTTCAAAATGTCCTGAAATATTACATCTCTAATCCAGATACCGTTCTGCACAGTTTCCCTTCACAACCGTCCCTTGTATTATATTGCACTGAATTACTAGTGCAATTTAAAAGTATGCAAATTACAGCAGCTAAGAAGTGCTTGCAAAAGAACAGATATTTGGTCAAGCATTTTATTAGCTGTGGAAGAAATGTTGTAGCTCGTGTACCACCCCTGAATATTTACTACATTTAAACAATTATTTTTCTTGTAGCCACATTACCCAAACTGTCCCCATAGATAACACTTAGGCTTTCCCAGGTGCCTATATATACACCTTACAGCAACTTTTTGAGTGCATGGGAGCCCCAAAGCTGAATAAGCTGTTTATTCCGCTGTGTCCTTTGGATATGGATTCTAAAAAGGGAGGGTTAGGTTCATTATATGCAGCTGGTGCACGCTCGTATTCTGATGACAGAAGTTGCAGAGTTTGCATCCTCTGTGTTTTACTAATCTACATTGTGTGAAGTGCTGCCTGAACGTTAGCCATCACCTAAGTAGGGAGAACATTTTTTTTTCCATTTTTTTGTAATGTCTAAATATGTTTCTTTTTCAGGATTATCCATCTGTGGGACATCTTTCCCAGATACTCACAGCTGCCAACATCCAGCCTATTTTTGCAGTTACCAGCACCGTCCTTTCAACCTATCAGGTACATATGTGTTTTTAAATAATACTGTGGACTTCACCTCTACTATTCTTTGAATAGCCAAGCCAGTAAAAGCTTAGTGGTAGTAGGACAGAGGTGTAAGGGCTTCTTTCACATTAGCGGTACTGCTTACTGCCTTTTAAAAACTGAAGGGCAGTATAGCAGCAGTTCACAGGCATTCAGGACCAGCCCGAACACTTGCTTTTTTGATTTTGTACTTTACATTTTTGAATGTTCATTTTACAACAGGGACCATCCTGCAACTATGAGCTTGACTTGACTTGCGCTTGCGATGCGGCCCTGTTGAATTCAGTGGGTGTGTTTGACCCATCAAACTCTGCTCCCTGAGTCCAACAAGCCATGGCTGGGGAGGGGGGCAGTGAGACCATGGCACAGCTGCCTGTTTTTACCTCTTCCTTTTCACCTGTCTGAAAGAGCCTTTAAAAAGTAAGAAAGTCTAACACCTTGCCACAAGAAAGGCATCACACAAAGAGTTGTTTTAAGGTCTATCCTCTCTGTAACTCTATAATGATTCCATTGACTTACACACATCATTCCAATGGTTTTGGAGGTTTGCAGAAACCATGTGGGGTTAAAAAGCAGGTGTGGAGGATCTAAATGATGGCAATAGCCTTGTGGGTATAGTAAGAAAATGTCTTTATGGTACCCAGCGGGAGTTTTCTTTGCATTTTCACGTATTATATACTTGCAGGAGCTGAGTAATTTGATTCCTAAATCTGCAGTTGGAGAACTGACCGAGGATTCCAGCAATGTGGTTAATTTAATATCTCAAGCCTACAATGTAAGCATTTTGTAATTTGTTAAAGCTGATCTCTGAACAGCATAAAAATAGAAACATACAATTACTGAATATATGTAGAAATGTATTATTGGATTAAGAAGTATAAATACTGGGCTATACACCTTAAATATTATGTATGGATTGTCTTCCTGTGCTGCACCACATCTTCTACCAATCTGAAAATGCTGCTTGTTAGGATAAGGACTACATGTTCCAGCACCACTTGGGCTGTGCTGTTGGGTGCAAAGGTAGGGGTCAATTATATGCAGCAACAGAGGAGTAGAAGGTTCTGCAGAGCATGCCTTATCATCACCTTCTAGAAACTAGGAGCTAGTTGATGTCAATCACCAGGCATGGGTTTTAAAGCATGAATATTAGAGCAATGTACATTGCTGCATATCATGTCCTTGACTGACTTTCCTGGCTCACAAGACATGCCACTTTGAAGTCCTTTAACATAGCAAGGTAAATTTAAATGATAGAATATGAATTCAGTGGCATGAAAAATAAAAAAAAAAACTGCTGCTATTTCAGCACCATATTGGACCATATATTACTGATAATAGATTCAATTTGTCATAACAGGGATTGAACAAGAGTCTCATCACTTCCCACATAGAAATTTACCATTTGGTGGTGCAATCAGAACTATACTCCACTGGAACCAATAGTGTTTTTTCAGTAATTGCTCCTCAGTCCACTTCAAATGCTTTCAGCAGATTATCATACTGTTGTACCCCATACACCAAGAGTGTTATACACAAGGATGTTGATTTTCATAACCTATTGTAATGTTAACTGCTGTACTCTGCAATGGCAATCTGCCATAATGAGAAAAGACACCCAACTGCTCCCATGTTCATCCATCAATGGCCATATTTTATACTATGATTAGTTTGAACAAATTATTGACAAGTAAAGTGTAACCTTTGATAAAGGTATAATTGTTTAAAAGAAGAGCAGGTTTTCAAATGCTTAGCACCAGTGACCAATCCGATCTCAGCTTTCATAGG